CACATTTGTTCAAACTGTTGTTTGTAACTCCTTAAGGGACCGATTAGGTCAGAATCCTTAAGAAGAGATGGTTAGTCTTTGTTGTTAGTCACCAGCGGTTGCTTGTGCAGATTGTAAATCCTTAAGGGACCAGTTGGGTCAGAATCCTTAAGAAGAGACGGTTGTCTGTGTTGTTAGTCATCAGTGGTTGCTAGTGTAGTGTAATCTGTTGATTATAGTGGATTAAGTCCTTGTTTATAAGGTGAAATCACCTTGGTGGATGGACTGGATTAGCTTGATAGTTTTCAAGTGAAACAGGATATATCGTGTGTCTTTCTTTGTTGATTAGTCTATTTGTGATCTTTGTTGGAGTTTCACAAAAAGCTTTCATTTATGAAAACCCAATTCAAACCCCCTTTTCTTGTGTTTTCTCACACCTTTAACTTCTTGTTGCCAAATTTGACAAGTCTCACAACCGAACCAACATGGTTCCTCATCCCCATTTTTATATTTTTGACCATCTGCAATAGATCGCTTTAATGCTTCAAACTTATTTTCAGTTTCTTCAACCTTTGATTCCAAGTATGTAAAAAAAATTCATTGGAATCTAATTTCTTATAAGCATGAGTCACTTCCTTTTGTAGATTTTCAAACAAAAAATCAAATCAATAAAAGACAACTTGTCAACGTTAGAGTATTTAGAATGACTTACATTCTTTTTCTTGCCTTGTCGTTGATTAGCCATGAAACAATAATTTGATTCTTTATCGCTTTCACTTGAGATTTCCTCGCTTGAGGCATCACTTTCACTATCCCAAGCAACATAGATCTTTCTAGGTTTCCTAGAATTGTTTTGTTGACTTTTTCCTTTCTTACTAACAAGAGATGGACAATCCATTCTAAAATGACCCGACTTTCCGCATTCATAGCATATACCTTTTCCCTTGTTATTTTTGTTGTCTTCATCTTTAGAGGATGTAGATTGTCATTTGAATCTCACAAGATTTTTATCGGAGTGTTTAACACCATTCTTTCGAATGTATTGATTGTATCTCCTAACAAAAAGTCTCATTTGCTCATCATCCAAGTTTTCTTCATCACACAAACCACTATCATTAGCTTGCTCTTCCTTTGAGAATCTAGAATTTGAAGCATTAAGAGATTTAGACTTCATTCCTTCCTCCTTATTGGTTTCCTTCTCCTTTTTCTTCTTTTTCTCAAGTTTCTTTTCATGCTCATCCAAGCAATTTAGTTCTTGCTCGTGTTCTTCTAACTTTTCGAACAAGGTGGTGAGATCAAGTGTTGTAAGATCGTTGGTTTCCTTGATGGCCATAATCTTTGGTTTCCAATTCCTAGTAAGACACCTCAAAACCTTGTTAATAGCAATAGCATTGGAAATAAGATTGCCTAGCAAGTTTAAACGATTAATAAGATGTGAGAACCACTTTTGATTTGAGCAAAGGCTTCACCATGCTTCATGCGAAAGAGTTTGAATTCTTGATTAAGTGTATTAATTTGGGCTTGTTTGACCTCATTAGTTCCCTCATGGGAAACTTGTAGAGCATCCCACATAGCCTTAGCAGTCTCACAATGAGAAACACGATAAAACTCTTAGACACCATGAGCAGATATCAAAGTTTTTTTCGCTTTTCAATCGTGTAACCACTTCCTAATATCTTCGTCATCCCATAGTGTTTCGGGCTTAGGTAAGGTAACACCCTCCACAACATGTTTGATTGGTGTAGGTCTATTTTGAATAATCTCCCAAACAGCTTTATCATAAGAATTCACATGAATTTGCATACAAGCTTTCCAATAACCATAGTTTTCTCCCGTAAAGATTGGAGCTCTTTTATAATCCTCTTTAGGTTTGTGAGCCATTTTCTAATAAGCGTTTCGAAGCACATAATGAACTGGGCTCTTAATTTCACTTGTTAGACGAAGACGAATTGTCTAGAGGGGGGTGAATAGACACCCAAGCCAAAATCACCAAATAAAATTTGGGTTTTAAAGTTATTTGAAAAAGAATGCACACGGAAGGTTTTGGTGTGGATCGACAAAAGTCGTCTACACGAACCTAGTTATTGGAACTCGGATATGCAAAGCCAATTATGGAATGACAAACATAATAATCGAATTTAACCTTTAATTGAGTATCACATTATTACTCGTTTAAACTAATTACTTAGTAATGCTATTTCAAATGATAATAAGTAGAAAATATTGAACTAAGCAATTTATCAAACACTTGGGTATGCAAACAAATTTTCAGAATTTTCTTTGTGTTGTTGATATGAAAACCACTTATAATCAAAAGTGATTATAAGCTAATCAACAACCAAGTTAAAACAGAAAGATCACGGAAAAATTCTTACGAGTCGATCGATTAATCAATGTTATTTGACAAATTGCATAATGAAAAATAAAGCGAGTAAAGAGATAATAGAGAGATCGACATGAGGATTTGATCATGCAGTTCCCCACTTTCGTCCTCGCGTGTGGGTACGTCTGCGCCTAATTTCCAATGTGGAATTAGGATACTTTCTTACTATGCAAAAAGTCAATTTACAAAAAAAAATGTTCAAGAGCAACCATACAAACACTATCGATTCTGATGTTGATTCAACCCATTTTCTTCTTTTGATCTTGAGTAAGACCAAGACAACAATGAATGTCAATTGACTTGTCGATATTGCTACTCATTTGCGTTCTTTATCTCCATAGCTTCCGTGCACGATCAATTGCACCGATTGTTCTAAGAGACTTCAAATCGATTCTCCATTCTACGTTACTTCCTTTGGGTTCTTTATCTCCAATGAGTCCTCTGCGCACTTTATCTCCAAGGCTTTCACAACGTTGCAATCCTCTCTTGAACGTCTTGCATGAAAAACCCAAATCTTCACACGATCTTGGAGGACAAACCCGCGGTTTTTCCGGATGAAGACCCTTAGAAATCTCAACCCAATATCTCGGCTACACAAGAACCCAATTGGACCTTATCAGTCCTTCGCCTAGCTGGCACCCCAACAAAAGATTATCATGTGTGATTTTTCAGTGTGTAGACATAGGACGGAGGTTGAAGATAATGAGAAAATACAGGCTAATTTTATGGTATCACCAGTTTGAAATGAAGCATGAAATATGTATTTATAGTTTTGAAAGTTTGGTGGCAAAGAGGTAATTTTCGAAGTAAAAAAAATGAACAAAACTGACCAACTTAAACAGTATGTGTCGGCCTGAACGTTGAATGTGCCGACACATACTTTTAAAAATAATAGCATGTGCCGACCCAAACGAAACAGAACTTACAACCTTATTTAGGACAATAGATGCCTGAAACACGTATGTGTCAACCCAAATGAAACAGAAACTACAGCCTTATTTAGGATAGTAGATGCGTCAACCTGAAACATGTATGTGCCGGCACATAATGGTAAAACTTCCAGTATGTGCCGACCTGAAGGTGTGTCGACCAAAACAAAACAGAAGCTAAAGGCTTTAATATTGAGTTACATGTGTCAGGCTGAAATGTGTATGTGTCGACACATGTAGTGCATTTTTATGCAGAAATCTGTTTTTCATGTTTTTGGACAAGTTCAAGGTGATTTTTGATGATTCATAAAACCTCTAATGCAAGGGAGCCACACATACTTAGAGCTATTGTTCAAAATACCAGAATGCGAAGTAATTTCACTGTTTTGACATCATGCAAAACATCTCATGGTGAAGTTGCACTCACAACTACTTCACCATATTCATGCTTAAGTCACCTCCAAGCACATACGTAATCAAAGAAGACTCCCAAAATTTCATTTATGATTCTACATCTTCTTCAATCTCGATTTTGATTTCCCCATCCACTAAAATTGGTGCTATGTACTCAATCACCATACCATTGGTCAGATTCCTGTTGTCACTGAGTACATCGACCCACAACTTCCTTCTTTCTTTCAATTCTTCACTATTTTTAGTAACAATATTTTCTAGGGTTTCGTCGACCCTCTCCGTTTCATCAATAACATCAGGTTTTTCAATAACATCTGAGGTGAACTTGATTCTAGCTACATCTTAACGAGTATCTCTACTTGTCTCACTTGCTCTACACGATTTTCCTATGACGGTGGCGCCGTCTTTTTCAGCCTCCTCATCCCCCCGTTTTTTTTAATATGGAGTTAGTTTTGCAGATTTCCCAAGGGTTGTTTACTATGATTTTTTTTATAATGTGTACTTAACTAGCTAATTAGAAGAACAGGAAGATGAGAGACATATAAAGTGAGTCATTTTGATGAAAAATAAAATAAAACACTAAGATAATGTACTTAGGAAATAATGAAAATAACTTTTGATATTTTCAATATTTTTGGAAATTTGAGATAAATACTCACTTCAATATTGCCTTTTCTCCATGTTAACAAATAAAACTAATAAAAAAATTTTAAACATAAAAAAATGTTTTTCACAAAACAAAAACACTAAACAGAATAATATTCAGGAAAAAGATTAGTCTGCTACCTGCCTTGATTCAACACAATAATCTTATGAATGGATCTCATTTATCCCATGCTTCAAGGTAACAATAAAATGAGAAAGGAGAAATAAGAAATCTAATTCTAAAGTCCGCATAAAAATATGATTTTATAGATAGAGATTAATGGGGATTTAAAAATAACCACAAAATGTTGAATTCGCTTTTATCATCAAGCGGGCCTACTTTATTACCGTAATTTAAAAATAATTACAAAATATTGAACTCTCATTATATATCACTATAAAACTACTTACGCAAAGTGTGTCACTTTTCTCGCGTAGAAAACCAAAACAAATAAGAGCGAATAGTAAGTTTCTTACATGATAGAAGTTTTTGGTAATTGTCATTTTAGAGATTATACGGGTTTGAGATGATATCACATGCCAGTGCCATACATACTATCTACTGGACAGTGAACACACTTCCACTCCAATTCATTTTCATTTTTGTTTCTTCTTGCTAGATTAATGAAGCAACAAAGCAACAAAAGGGCTCACATGTCAGCAACCAATCTTTCCTCACCAGCTATGGATTCAGCAAGGGTTCCCCGAGTCCACCGCTCAAGCATCTCTAATGCAGCCTTGGGCTGGTCCATTGGAACCATGTGACCCGCATCATGGACCTGTTTTTGTTACACATAGAAGTCTTAACTGAATTAAACGTTTTCCAGTGACCATGAGCAAAGCAAGAAAGGATTTGGTAGATATAAGAAAAGCCAAGTTTGTATTTGATTATGGAAATAAAGTAAGAAATTTATCTCTGTACAACATAAACATTTGGTAGTGTGAGTAACATTCTGTCCAAGCTTTTAACAGAAAATGCACTTATAATCCATTCCTTTCTGCTAATGATTTGGAAACAATGTTGCAATTGGGGTCAATTTAATCAGCACTGCTGAATGTCTTGTTACCAGTGCTGATTAAAAGTTAAGTGGTATTTTGAAGATAGAGTTATGTTGAAGGAGGCAATCTATAGTTTACCCTGTTTTTCATGTAAAGTATGACTTATTCGATATAGTATTGATAGTTTTCAGTTTCTCTACATAAGCATGTGTCTAAATGTGTATGTGTGCAGGGAGAGAGAGCATGATGGAGACCTTAAGGAAACTCAGAGGACCATAGCTCTTCAATAATCCAGCTTGTGATCCATTAACAACAAAAGGAACATCAGGCGAGGCTACAAATTCTTTCTGACCAGACCATTTCATGGCATGAACCCATCTTGAATTACCTACTCATTGAAATCAAGCCACCGGGAAAATGTCCATCACTTCATTATTCAAAACATTATAATATGAAATATTAAACTTCTCAACGGATCTTATATATATCCAGTGTAAATACTTACCAAGCCAGTTGCATATCAAATCATATTCCCCAGCATAAATAAGTAAATTAATCCCATCCTCAAGAAGGAGAGGAATACCAACTTCCAGATTCCTCATCCAATCCACCAACATAGCCATATAAACTTCCGTGCTACAAGAAACAAAACGAATTTTGCCAACCCCTAGTGAATCCCGAACCGATTCTTGGTTCAGGAACTTCTCCATGTTTGAGAAATCATAGCAGAGGCTCCCCTCACACTTCTTTCTGATATCATAGTACTGCAACAAAAGTATATAAACTGGTAAAACTTACAAAACAAAGACCCATATATTGCTTCAAGATCAAGATCACAATTTCCATGAATATCAAGATATGGGTTTCTTCGGACCTATCATCACAGCAGCATTAAAGGTATTCTTAACAGTTGTGATAAAACCTTTTAATTAAAAACCACTGAGGGTCTAACGCAAGTGGTTGGTCCGCAATGTGTGTGAGTGTCGTAGACTCCGGAGTACCAAGCTCAATTTACACTAATTAGAAAAACTCCTAACTAAAATATCCTCTACTAAGAAAGAGTTAAAGGAGGTGGTACAAACAGACTTCGGGTTTGGAAAATGATCAATTGTCAGCACTCAGCAGGTGTACTTAGTCTTAGGATTGCATATCAATTAAATTGTTCTTAATCTTGATAAACTGGCTCCTTTTAACTATCCATATGGTATATGGTATTTCAGCATCTCCTTTTCGAAAAAGAAAAAAATTTGATTGAAAGGTATATCTTTAATTAAGCCTCATTCTCAATAAGCTTTCATGTAAGCTGTGTGTCACGAAAAAAGCACTAATGAGATGTCAACGACACAGAAGAGGAAGAAATTGTGTACCCACATTTACACCTCGGGCGTGTAACATGATGTCACTGAATATGAGATTACAGGCTACATTTGCAGTCAGACAGGAAACCTTACCATCGGTGCCTGAAAGATTTAAATGAATATTAAATCTAGTAGAAGCCCGACAAGAGAAGATTCCAAACAAAGGATGAAGCATTAAATAAAATTCTAAAATTCATTACTCAATTAAAAAAGGGATGACTTCTTGTTCCAACAATAACAACATCTAAAAACAAAGATATATATATCTATGAAACACGGACACTTCTAGGTTTTAACCAAATCTATATTTTGGATATGTTATTAACATGGTTTTAACCAAATCTATAATTTGAACATCCATATCCAAAATAAAAACCAAATTAGTTAATTTCTTTTATAAAAAAAAAATTCAAATTTCTTTTTCATTTTGAAATTTTTTTATTTTCTAAAAAATAATAACTTTTTTTGGAAAATTTTTTTTTTCCGTAAATAAAAAAATACTGAAAAATTAAAAAAAAAAATTCCAAAAATAAAAATAAAAATGATTTTTTATTTTTGAACATAAATATTTTTTCTTAAAATAAAAAAATTATTTTTTTAAAATAAAAAATTCTTATAAAAAATTATTTTAAAATTAAATTAAATCAAAACTAATATAAAATTGATTATGGATATAACTGGTTTATAACCATTTTACAAAAATGAAAACCGATTATAACAATTGGTTTTAATAATCGGTTATGACATATAGATTATTTATGGTTATGGATTGGTTATGGAAATTAACCGTCCATGAGCATCCCTACACCCGTACAACAGGTGTCAAAAAAGTCAAACAAGTGTCCCCTAAAAAATGGTTTTTTTCTCTGCTTTGACACTCTTTGAGTCAATGTTTGACACTCGCTTGACACTCATATATGTCAAACAATTCAAATAAGTGTTACAAACAAAAACTTGTTTTTTCTTTGCTTCATGACACCTTTATACATTTCTGAACAAATCTCACACATTTTAAAAGGTTAAACATGTATTGAAGCAATCTTATTAATAAAGAATTAAAAACATTAATTTTAATTAGAATATTTTTAACTCTTTTAAAGTTTAAACATAGATGGATAGATGACGCTCATATACTATCTTATATGTAGCGGTGTCTATGTCCTATGTTTTTGATATTATCAGTGTCTGAGTGTCCGTATCGTGTTGTGTTTTGGTATCTGTATCAGAGCTCGTTGCTCTGCATATGACATTATTTTGCTCAACATGTAAGCATATTAAACATACAGCAAAAAATTGATTGTGTTGTGCACTAATTAACAAACAAGAAAAGAAACTAATACTAGTTTTATGATTCAATTATTTATCCCATACTATCCTGTTTATAAAATCCCTTAGTATGCATCAAACGCAGCCTTAAAGTTTGCACAACTATTAGAAATCAACAAACTGGTGCTCTAACTATAAACGGTAAATCATAACTGAAATCGCAAAAGATTTTCATAAAGTTTCCAAAGATTTAGCAATCCACATTTAATGCCCAATTATATACTGGTGCATTATATGCAAGATAAATGGGTAGTTTAAATATATAATGTACGAGTATTATAGGACTTAGTCAGAAACAGAGTGGCAGGTGGATTTCAAATGACAAAAAATATACTATTCTTGGGAAAAAAACTTATGCCAAATGTAATTTACCACATAGCTTTATAGCCAATTCACAGGCTGGAACCAATACTTTGCCAAGGAGGTCATGTGTAGCCTGTGTAATTATGCCCATGTCCAGTGCATAGTCTGGGTAAGCTTTATACTGAATTGCAGGATTAGTAAGTCCATTACCAATGGCCAATCCCTGTTCAAACCATTCAAACAGGATACGCTAATAGTTTTCCCTTCAATTCTCTCACCTAATAAAAGTCGGAACATTTCACTATATAATGTAACATGACCAACCTTCAAATTTATATGAATTCCTTCATTAGCTTGGTTTCCCTGACGGATACGAGAGGCTAAAGCAGGAATATAGTGCCCAGCATACGATTCACCTGTAATAAAAAAGTCATTCTTTGCATATTGGGGATGCTCTACAAAGAAGGCCTGTGGAAATAGAAACAAAAAAACTGATTAGATGTTATTATAGTCTTTTATATTATTTTTGCTAAGTATCATTTTTTACTTTAAATTGGTAACAATAACCACTTTCTTAATTTGTTTTCATGTAAGTCATGAAGACCAAATTCCATCTTTCTGCATATTAGATTATCCCTCATCTGGATTACATTTGTCAATTTCTTCACGAGGCCTGAGGATTGTGGATCTATGTGACAGAGAGTAGGGATGGGCTTCAAAGTCAATTAAAGCATTTTAAAAACCGGACAGGATGTGAGATCCTGAGATAGCCTATCATTGCCGGTGTTTCAGTGGCTGCAAGATCAAAATGGTCACTATTGATAACAATTGACGAGAAAGATAGGATGGTGCATAGTTAGCTGCTGGGAATTTGTATCTTTATCTATTATACAAGCTTGCTAGTGCTAACCTTCTGTTTACCTTTCCCTATGTGTTGGCTTGACCGTTTTGCATCACATGACTATTATATGGTTACTTGTAATTTTGTAAAGCATCCATCCTTATTTTAAACTCGAGAATGACATAATACATCACAGTACACAGATATCCACCACAAAAATAATAAATGTTTGGTAATAAATGAATAATGCACTTAAATTCTAGAGTTTATAGTCCGATTCTATAGTAACCACATGTACCTGCAAAAAGTCATACAGGTCATTGCTAACACCCTTTTCATTATGACGAATATCACGCAAATCAGTACTGTAGCTAAAGCCAGTTCCAGTTGGTTGATCAACATACAAAAGGTTTGACACCTACAAGATTGGATTTAGAAACAAACTTTAATGCTCATAAATAATTATCAGAGAAAATGTACAATACAGAAAGCAATTATTAAGGTAACAAACAGGATACTACAACAATATCAACCAAACCTTATTTCACTAAGTGAGATCAACTACATGAATCAAATGATGCCATAATGTTGTATCAAATACCATATTTCTGTCTAACTCATTAATCTCGAGATTTTTTTAATAATTTCTCTTATAGCTTTTCTAGATCTTCCTCTACCTCTAGCGGTTTGACTACCCTCCATCTAATCTACTCTCTTTACTACGAAATTCACATGTCTTCTTTCTACGTATCTTCTTTCTACATGTTCAAACCTGCTAAGTCTAGTTTCCACCAGTTTTCTACTATAGGTTATACCCCAACTCCTTCTCTAATGTTGTCACTTCTAATTTTATCTTGTCTATTCTTACCAAACATCCAACGCAACATCCTCATCTATGTTACACTTCTAAATTATTTTTGTGTTGGTTCTTTACATGTCAACACTCTATCCTGTACAATATTTTCCCTTCAATTTGAGCAATACAAACATTTGAGGTTCTCCTCTATTTCAACCACACAACTTGAATTTGACGGTTTACATCTCCTATTTCACCGTCGTATTGTACTATGGACCTAAGATATTTAAGCCGCATAATTTGAGGTATGTTATGGTCTCTAACTTTCACCTCTAAGCTAGCCATGTTTCGCCTTTTGCTAAAATTACATTCCATATACTTTATCTTGTTTCTGCTCAGACAGAAACCATATGCTTCTAAGTCTCGTCTGCAAGTGTCCAATATCCCATTTAACTCTTCCCTCGACTCGTCAAGTAGGACTACATCATCTGAAAAAGAGCATACGTCTCAGTGCTAGCTCTTAGATATATTTTGTAAGTACATCCAAAAATAAAGTAAAAAGATAAGGGTTTAGGGTTTAACCTTGGTGCAATTCTATTTTTATGGGAATATTGTTTGTATGTAGAACCCTTCATACATATCCTTGATAGCTTGAATATAGACAATCCTAATCTCTTTATTCTCTAGGACTTTCCGCAAAATCTCTCTGAAATATACTCCATCATACACCTTCTCCAAATCAATAAAAACTAAATGCAATTCATTTTTATCCATCTCATACCGCACCATGAAAACATTCAAAGAAAACTCCACATCTTTCAGAAGATGTGGAGCATGAAAAACAACTAGTGGTGGGCTGGTGGCTAAAGTTACATGTTAGTAGTACTATATTGAAAGAAAACCTTTAAAACTAGTCACCAAAGACAAAGAGACCGCACTAAGAGCATTTACATGGAAGCAAATAACAACATACATACAAGTAAATTCAACAAGAAACATGATATTGTTTAAAAGAGGGATTACTGATTAAATTGTTTCTCGTTAATATAATTACCTTATAAAAATTCATTATGATAACAGGCAATGGGTAAATCAGTTTCAATGTTTTAAAACCATTATCTCAGGGAAGAGGGGAGGCCATGCCCACATACTTCTTTGTAAATTGACAGCCTATAAGCCAATAGACCAACAGTGTGAACTTGCTTATTACCTGAGCAGCACCACTTCCTACTCACAGTTTAGGCAGCAAATCATGAGTTTAATTCAGAGGGATATGTCTCGCTCGTTTAAGGCACTGGTTTCTTTAGGAATATCCAAAAGAAATTGCACCAATGAGATATTCTTATCAAGTTGTTGATGGGTGTAATGGTAAGAAATCCTTAGTTAGAGTGTTTTTCTTGACTCCAGAGTCTCTCTATCTCCCTCTTTAAAAGTTGTATTGCATTCATAGTTTTCATATAGTCGTGTATGCTATGATTTCTAATTCTGTTAAGATCTGAGCTATAAGCTTGTGAATTACAAGCCCTTTTTCTTTTACTTAAACCTACTCACTTATCTAGCACTCTAAATAAGAAAGACGGAAGAAGATTGGTTTTGTCGTACTTTCTTCTTTCCTCAACCATTATAGTTTGTAGTACATGAAAATAAAAATAGAAAAATGTGACATTAGGTTACCTTGTCCCAACCATACTGATTCCACACAAGAGACAAATTGTGATTAATTTTGAAAGGGCCATTTTCATAAAACAGAGCCAATTCACTGCTACAGCCAGGACCTCCAGTCAACCAAATCACAACAGGATCTTCCTTGTGGTTGCGTGATTCAAAGAAAAAGTAGAACATCCTGCCACAGTAACAAACTGTAAGCAAACATGATAATGTAAGATAGGTGAATGAAAAAGTTAAAGTGAAATCAGAAAGGAACCTTGCGGCATGGGAATTTTGAATGGGATAATAACCGGCATAATGACCAAAATCCTCAACGGAAACATCATCATCATCATCGCCAACTAGATTAGGAAACTTGAGACGCTTCTCAACGATTTTGCCACTGAGATCTAATGAAGATGAATTTGCAGCAGCAACGATGTTGAGGTTGACTTCCGGGAACAAATTAAGGTCTCTCACTAGCTTCTTAGCTTCTAGTCTGAGGCGAAGATCATCGGCGGCGGCGGCGGCAGAATAAATTGATGAGCAGAAGTAAAGGAATAGGAAGATTGACGTGGAAGAAAGCCCCATTTTGTAAAGTATGGCAGATAGATACTGCACTGCACGTACTTGATCATATGCTACTATGCTATGCTGTTCTTCGCTTATCTCATTTTTAATTGGATTTATATTCTTATCTAATTAGCGGGTTCACGTCGATGACGTATATTTAATTAAAAACAAAATATATGTTTAAAAAGTTATATAAAGTAAAAATACATGAAACATAAAAAAAAACCTTTGAAAAAAGAAAAAGAAAATTTTATTTTTGAGTTATAACAATATTAGATGAATGTAAAAATAATAGAAGGGAAATGTATAGTTATTTGTATTAACTGAAATAATAGTGAAATCTATAACAATTAAAATAAAAGTTAAAAAGTTAAAATCGGGTTATTATAATTGTGAAAGTGATGGGTCTATGAAATAAAATATAAGATGTTGCATTTGGTAAAAGGCAATATACAGTACAGTCATTGGGAAGGTTTCAAAACGAAACCTAATTCTTTAAGGAAAAGGAAAAATAACGACGAAAGTGGGATGCGGCCTGGACGATCGAAGGTCAAACGGGAGGGAATAACGAAGCTTTCGGAGGAAACTGGAGAGAAGATGAAACGGTAAAGTTTAATAAAATTGTTGTCTTATTTTTTATATTGGACTTATGACTATTATTAGGAAATTTAAATTGATGTTGCATAGAAGGATAACGATGCTAAGGGAAAATGGATGGTTATTGGAATAGGGTGCTCGGCAAGGATTGGGGCCCTTGTGTCTACGTATGCTCATTTAGACGAGAATGAGAAATCAGAACTTCGTAGTTCGACTACGGGAAATCTTAGAGGAGAAACAAAAGATAGATAGAATTGTGCTCGCCAAGATCATCGCAATCTTGTGCCTACGTATCTTGCATTCAGACGAGAATGAAGAATCAGAGTGTCCGTAGTTCGTGGAGATGACTACGAAAAGAGAGGGTTGAAGTGTTGAAGTTTGAAGTTTGGTTGAGAAACAAAAGATTGACTGACAAACAACCCAAGGGGCGTGTCTCGAGAGCTGTCACTCAAGAATCCAAGGAATGCGAGATTCCAAGAACTCAGTTCTTTCAGAAGTTGATTAGAAAGGTTTCGAGAGAGAATTGAACGTTTTGAAGTCGAAAGATTGAATGAACAACAACTCAAGGGGTGTGCCTCGAGAGCTATTCATTCGAAGGTTCAAAGAATGCTAGACTCCAAGAATCTCCTTCTTTCGTAAATTTGATTACAAAAATGTTTGAATAAAGATTAGGTGTTTTGAGACGAAAGGTTGAATGAATGACAAACCAATGTGTGCGCCTCAAGAGCCATTCATTCGAAGATCCAAGGAATGCTAGACTCCAAGAATCCTCTTCTTTTGTTATTTGTTAATAAAAGCGTTTTGAAAAAGATAGAATCGAATAGGTTGCGAAAAGAGGTGGATTGCAAGGCAAAAGGCACTCGACTTACAACTTGACTAAAATATCGTTTGACGTTAGATCAAGGGTTTGATTTTATTTATGTGCAAAGATGTGTTGGAATGGAAGTTGGTTTGAAAACGGCTCGACGACGAGTCGAGGGTTTCGTTGAGAATGGAACCGGCTCGACGACGAATCAAGGGTTAGATTGTGAGAAACGATACTAGTCCCTGACGGTGCTCCTAATAACGAAAGCACAATGAAATATGAAAGTGTATGCAATAGGTTGATGGCGAATGCGTACGAGCACTCGACTTACGGAGGGTGTTTGAAAATGGCTCGATGACGAATCGAGAATTAGTTCGAAAATGGTTTAGTCTACGCTAGCCCCTAAAGGGCATACATCGAAATGGGAGAGGGTGATAGACCTAAAATATATTGTTTATTCGACTCGATTTGCGCATGTTATTTAGGATTTTATTTCCGTTTTCTTGTATTATGCATCTGTTTTGTTTCTTTTTTAGGTTTTTGTGTTTTCAAAGCTACTCGAGAAGAAATGAAGAAAAATGAGCTAAAAGAACAATATCTCTGGAATTGTACACATGGCTTCCACCATGGCGGGCGTCATAGGGGATGCCACACATTGGACAAGTGACCAACTACTGACAACTGGCACGTCTCCCACAACTTTCCACCCTAGTTCATATGGCGGCGCCATAGGGAGATGGCGGGCGCCACCTTTGCAATCTTGTTTCCCTCCCAAAAGAAGTCGGAGGGCATTCTCGTCCTTACCTGTACTTTCCTACCAATATAAATAGAGGAGTTATGTCTCATTTCCAATCATCCAAGCTTAGTTACAGAACTCAAGCCATAAATTTCACCTATTGTAAAGTGATACACTTCTCACATCGAGGGGTTATCGCATTGTCCAATCGACTCTGTAATCGGGTTTGGAGCACTTTGGTAGAAGTTAATCCTGCCGCCATTTTATTTTTGTCATTTACTTCAAGTTGTACCATGATTTAAAGCCTCTCGTTTGGAGCAGGTTTCTGTTTATTTATCGCCCTTTTTATTTATCCGCTTTTATTTCCTGCACTGTTTATTTATCGCATTCTTTATTTATCGCACTTTATTTATTTCCTCGCACTTTATTTACTTGCATTTATTTACCATGCCTATTTACTTTACCATGTCCAGCTAAATCTTAAAGGCTAGGATGCAACAATCGTAGTTAAAATAGTATTCCATACGGCTGTCGATAGAATTACTTAGGGGTTATTCTGACTTTTAACACTTATTTTCTGCACTTAAAATTTGTTGGGTAAGATCGAAATTCGTCCAACCTTTAGATAAATTTGGTTAGTCTTAACTGTTCAAAGGAAGCGAAAGCGCTTGGTCCAGTTAAGTAGGAATGTTTAATGTTTTAGAAAATCGATTTTAAAACTGCTTTCGGACGCGTTTATGGATTTAAAATTCCGGTTCACAAGAACCTCTTTTTGTTAGAAATTCTAGGTCAAAATACTTTTCAACTAAGTTAAGAAACTATATTTCTTAAAAATAGGTTTAATCACTCTAACGCAATGCGCGCCTTTTTATAAGTGACAATAAGAGGGATCGATTAGGCGATAAACTCGGTTTTGAATACGCGAAAGCAACAGTTCCCGTTAAATTAGTTCTTTTCACGAGTAGAAAACATTACCTCATAAGGCATCCTATTTATAAGCATTTGGTATACTACCCAGCTATGTGAATTGCATCTAAGCCTGTTATTTTAGTATTGAATTTATTTTCACACTTTACTTTTATTTCGCACAACTTAACCCTTTATTGACTTGCCTTAGATAAACACTGTAACAATAGCAACTGATAGATTGACGTTTGGTCTCTGTGGGATCGATAATATTTTATATTACTCTGACGCTATTCGTGCACTTGCGAAACACATCATCATGTTTTTGGCGCCGTTGTCGAGGACCAATTACGTCAAAATTCCGTACCCTATTGTTACACCGTCTAGACTAAGGTTTTACCCACCGGTCAATGTGAAGAACTCGCAGCACCGGTACTCTTATAGATCCTTTAGAGGAACCTGAACGTTACACTCGCCCATGTATCTTATTTCGTAGAATCAAGAAAGCTATGTACGAAGACCGTAACCAAAGACCCCTTAAGGATTTTGCCCAACCATCCTATGACAAACCTAGTTCTAGTATTATGAACCCCAATATCCCAGCTCACAATTTCGAACTAAAACCTTCCCTATTACAATTAGTGCTACAAAACCAATTCGCGGGTCTTCCTACTGAGAACCCGAACCAACATTTAAAAACTTTTATTCAACTAGCTAACACTTTTAAAACCAATGGTGCTACTCCTGAGGCGATTCGCTTAAGATTATTTCCCTTTTTCCCTAAGAGACAAAGCCCTTACTTGGTTAGATTCCCTTCCAGCCAACTCTATAACAACTTGGGAAGACCTTAGGGGAGTTTTCCTCGCTAGATATTTTCCCCCGAGCAAAACAGTTGTTCTTAGAAACCAAATAACCATATTTACTCAAAACCAAGGTGAATCACTCTTTGAGGATTGGGAAAGATATAAAGACCTGTTGAGAATATGTCCACACCATGGCCTGAAATCATGGCTAATCATCCACACCTTCTATAATGGACTTCACTATAACACTAAAATGACCATCGACACCGCCGTAGGTGACGCCCTGATGAATAAACCTTACCCTGAAGCTAGCGCTCTCATTGAAGATATGGCTCAAAACCATTGTCAATAGGGGATAGAGCGAGCAACGGTGGAGAAGAAGGAAGCCTAAGGAGGAATACATGAGATAAGTTCTATAGACATGATGCAAGCCAAAATGGACGTTTTGGCCCTTCAAGTCGAACATATGTATGCAAACCCAGTAGCTGCAGCAGCAGTCTCAACTGAGTGCGAATTATGTGGTGCCAAAGGGCACCAATCGGCGGAATGCAACCTGCTGAATGAAACTCATTCAGGAGAGATCAACTATACCCAAGCAAACCCATTTTCAAACACTTACAACCCTGGATGGAAGAATCACCCAAACTTTTCCTACAAAAACAATAACCTTATCCAAAACCCTGTACCTCCAAGACCATCCGGTTTTCAAGCTCAAAGACAAAACCCGCCTATGCAAGCTGTGCAACCTAAGCCGAACCTTGAGAAAATCATGGAGAACTTCATTACGGCTCAGACCCAACAAAACAAAGAATTCCTAAACCAGAACATTCATGTATATGAACTGATTATCCAGTTAAAAGCTAAAGTAGACCAAATAGTCACCCATAATAAGATGCTTGAAACCCAGATCTCTCAAATAGCTTTAAAACAAGCTCCCGAGATTACACCCAGAGGACAATTCCCTGGACAACCTCAACAAAACCCCCGAGGGCAAGCTAATGTAATTACCTTACGGAGTGGGACATCTTACGATGAACCGGTTAACTCGACATTGAGCATACGCAAGACTTCTAACGAAAGCCTGGCACCCGCAGACGAAGCAAAGGAACCAGTAGGATCCGAAAAACAGAAAAACCAAGACAAAGAAAAAACTTTAGAAAAAACTAACGAA